GCAGGGGGTGGCTCCCGGCAAGGTTAATCTGTTTAGGACCAAATCCACATGCCAAGTCCAGATGTGGTTCTCAGCTGGCCTGCCTTGCCCACAGCCCTCTGGGCTTTTACCCCCTGGGCAGCCGAGCCTGTCCCGGAGGTGGCAGCGCCCTGACATCAGCAGCCGCAGGCGGCCAGGCCTGTCCGGAACCAGCGGCTTCGGGTGTGGTGAGCGGTCTGGGGGGCAAGGCCACAGGCGCCCTGAGAGGGTTCCTGCAGAACCTGCCAGCAGGGACCGTCTGTGCCCCCAACATGTCAACAGCGGAAGGCGGGGCCTAGGGGGGCTCCTGCCTCTGCATCCAGCTGCCCAGCTCACATCCCAGCAGGCGCTGCCCTGCCTCCTCTCACCTGAAGGTTGTTGTTTTTAAATATATTTTTATTATTTCAGAGAGGGAGGGAGAGAAAGAGAGAGCTAGAAACATCAATGATGAGAGAGAATCATGGATCGGCTGCCTCCTGCACGCCCCCCACTGGGGATGGAGCCCGCAACCCGGGCATGTGCCTTGGTGTGGCTCAGTGGAGAGAGCGTCAGGCTGCAGACCAAAAGGTCTCGGGTCTGATTCCAGTCAAGGGCATGTATCTTGGTTGCAGGCTCCTCCCCTGGCCTGGGCCCTGGTCAGGGCTCGTGCAGGGTGTGTTCCTCTCACATTGATGTTTCTCTCTGTCTCTCTCTCTCTTCCACTCTCTCTAAAAACCAATGGAAAAATATCCTCGGGTGAGGATTAACAAAAATAAATACATTTTTTTAAAAAGGAGTTGGAGGTGGCACGGCCTGCAGCCGAGGAGGAGGGGGGGGGGACAGGGAGACAGCCAGCCAGCAGCCCAGAGGCTTTGACAGGCCTCGGACGCTGAGCAGGAGCAGGGCCCCGAGGGCCGGGGTGGGACCTCAGGGGCCTCCTGAGAGGCTGAGCCTCTGCTTCCAAACACCGCCTGGTGGGTGAGGTGAGGAGAGAAGCACATCCGCTGACACACACAGAACACTCGCTCGGCCCCAGCACTCATTAACGACAGCTTTTCTTACTATTCGCCTCCTCTCTCTCATCCCACACCCTCCAGGCCCTTTCAGGCGGACACAAGCCCACCCCACAGCCCTGCCCACGGCATCAGCCTTGCTACGGGGCAGGGGTTGGGAGGGTGAAGGGAGGCCAAGCCTGTCCCCCTTTGCAGTCTTGCCTGAAGGCCTGGGACGCGAGGCCCTGGCTGGAGGGCCAAGGATGAAAGTTAGAGGGGGCCTGTTTTGGAAAGAAGTTCCCAGGGGGCCTAGCTTCTCATTTCTACCCTCTCCCCGCCGGTTTCTCACTGAATGGGGCTCGCCACTTCTCACCCCACTGGGTAAAGATGGAGACGGTGAAGGGGCCTGAGTGTAAGAGGCCGCCTGGGGAGGAGCAGGACTGGGTAGGAGGCAGGGGCAGGAGCTGGCCTCTGATGTGCCATAGTCACCTTTGGGCAAATGAGAGTGAATCCCCTGCTGTCGTTTTAACCCTGAGGCGGGAGCTGCAAGGGCCGCTCTCAGTAAGCGGAGAGGGTGTTTAAACGTCTGCCCTGGCCTGGGCGTCCTCTCGTCAGCACCCCACGCCATGCTTGCACGCCTTCCGGAACAGGCTCATCACTGCAGGGAAGCTTCCGTCCGATCAATATGTGTCTGCCGGCCAGCCCGACCGTCTCCCCTTGGCGCCACCGGGCGAGGCGAAGCCCTCTGCCCCCGGCTGCAGCCCCAGCCCCGCACTGACCCACAGCTCTGGTGCCCGCTTCCCCTCCGGGTGGGACACACCCTCCGGATCTGCCCACAGGAGCGACCCTCAGGCTGTGGAGGCAAACAGTCCCGTCCCTGGGCCACCGGGTCATGGGGAGCCTGGTGCAGTGGAGAAGCAGAGGCAGCTGTGGTTGGGATAAAGGTGACTTTGCCATTGTGACCAGGGAAGGCCTGTCCCCGGAGCCCCAAGTACCAAGATGAGTGTCCAGTGTCCACTGCCCGCTCTCCCCTGACACCTCCTGGGCTCTCAAGGTCATTGCTGCCAGAGAAAAGGAAAAGCTGCTTTTCCAAGCTCCCCACCCCCACGCCCACCTCATCTCTTCCCACCACGTCCTTCACCATCACGTCTTCCTCTCTTTTCTAGCCAAGTCCTCTGAGCTTGCAGGGGGTGGCTCCCGGCAAGGTTAATCTGTTTAGGACCAAATCCACATGCCAAGTCCAGATGTGGTTCTCAGCTGGCCTGCCTTGCCCACAGCCCTCTGGGCTTTTACCCCCTGGGCAGCCGAGCCTGTCCCGGAGGTGGCAGCGCCCTGACATCAGCAGCCGCAGGCGGCCAGGCCTGTCCGGAACCAGCGGCTTCGGGTGTGGTGAGCGGTCTGGGGGGCAAGGCCACAGGCGCCCTGAGAGGGTTCCTGCAGAACCTGCCAGCAGGGACCGTCTGTGCCCCCAACATGTCAACAGCGGAAGGCGGGGCCTAGGGGGGCTCCTGCCTCTGCATCCAGCTGCCCAGCTCACATCCCAGCAGGCGCTGCCCTGCCTCCTCTCACCTGAAGGTTGTTGTTTTTAAATATATTTTTATTATTTCAGAGAGGGAGGGAGAGAAAGAGAGAGCTAGAAACATCAATGATGAGAGAGAATCATGGATCGGCTGCCTCCTGCACGCCCCCCACTGGGGATGGAGCCCGCAACCCGGGCATGTGCCTTGACCTGGAATCGAGCCATGACCTCCTGGTTCATAGGTCAGTGCTCAACCACTGAGCCACGCTGGCTGGGCCACCTGAAGACTTTTAGTCACTCCCCCTCCCCCCCCAGATGGGAGGAAAACGATGCCCTAAAGAGGGACCCGGTTCAGACCAACCCTGTCAGACGTGGGAATGGGACCGGGAACTGGAGCTCGCAGACGGGGGTCTCCCCGCCTGTGGCCATCAGGTCAGCCTGGCGAAGGCCCCTGCCTGGGGCAGCAACGCATCTGTCCAGGCTCGTCAGTGGCCAGCTGTGTGAGCTTGGGAGGACCACTCTCTCTCTCTGCACCTCACCTTTAAAAGCAGCCCTTGCAGGCGGCGTGGGGGGCTCTTCTAGTTAAACTCAGGCCCTGCTGGGGGGGGCGGGGGGGAGCAGGTGCCAGGGCTGGTGTGAGCTGAGCGTGTGCTAGGCCCAGATGAGTGTGGGCTGTGGAAGAAGAGCTGCTCTGGAGCCTGATGGGAGAGCCTGTCTTTGTCCTTGACTCATCACGCGGCTGTGAGCAGGTCACTTCCTGTTCTAGCCCTGTGTTCCCTCCAGGAAGATCAGGAGGCGGGGCCAGGTGGTCCCTGGGGCTCCTCTGACTCTGAGGTTATGAAGATCTCCTTTCCCACCCTCGCCTCGGCCTGACGCCCTGAGAGCCCAGGGACCCTGAGAGCCCAGGAGTGCAGACTCCAGGTCCATGCAGCCGGCAGTGCTTGCGAGGCCCTGCTGAGCCTGCAGGGGGCGCCAGGGGGACGTGAAGGAGCAGTGGAATTGGGAGGCGCTTGTCCAGGCACCCCCACCTCAGCTGGGGGACACAGACAGCCGGTGACCAGTGGATGCTGAGCCTTAGAGTGGAGCTAGCCCTTCCCCCACCAGGCGGCTGGTTCTGCAGCCAGAACTCCTCCTCCAGGCCCCAAGCAGGCTGGACCCAAGAACATGGGTTTAGGGGCGATGCCTGAGCCGAAGCCAGCCCTCCCGGAAGCCAGCCCAGCGCCAAAGTGTCCTCCCAAGTGTCCTGGGGGCAAAGCCCCAGGATGAGAAAGATGCTGCCTCTACCCCAGAAGCACCGGCAGAAGCCCAGTGCTTCTGCGGCTCAGGCCTCGCCCCCGGCCTGTTTCCCTGTCTGCTCAGCAGAAAGCACCCTGTCTGACAGCCCATTTTTGGCGGCTCCACAGGGCAAACACCTTTTATTTATTTTTAATTTTTTAAAATATATATTTTATTGAGGGAGAGGGAGAGAGAAATAGAAACATCAATGATGAGAATCATTGATCAGCTGCCTTCTGCACGCCCCACACTGAGGATTGAGCCCGCAACCCGGGCATGTGCCCTGACTGGAATCAAACCGTGACCCCCTGGGTTCATAGGTCAACGCTCAACCGCTGAGCCACGGCGGCTGGGCCAGACGCCTTTTCACACCAAGGTAACCGTGGCTCCGTCAGAGACCGGCCGCCGCTGTTGAGCCTGCCACTTCCTTCCTGGCCTCTCTGTCGGCCGGAGCAGTAACCCTCGCAGCATCAGGACTCTCCATGTCAGGTCCTCCTGGAATGTTCTAGAATGCACCCGCCGCTAGCCACTGGCCAAGGCCTCTCAGAGGTGACAGTGAACAGGAGAAATGCAGGAACCGACCCCGTCAGCACTACCTTACCCTGCAGAGTTGCGACTTTTCTCATCTGGCAAGTGTGTGTGTGTGTGTGTGTGTGTGAAAGAGAAAGTGCAAAGAGCTATAAGAACAGGGACCAAGAGAGAGAAAGACTGAGTGTGTCTGCAATAGTGGCACCAGGGTTGACTCTGGCCCTGAGCTGGGGGCTGGCCCAGCAGCACATCAGCAGGGTAGGGCGGCGGCTTTTTTTACTTGCTTGTGGAGCTGCACGGGGCAGACTCTGACCAGCTGTCATCTATCTTCCCTGAGTCCAGAGCAAGCAAAAGAGGCTCTGCAAGCGGGGGCAGGAAGGGTGACCCCTCTGCTCAGAGAAAGAATAGACACATCAGTGCACCAGGCAGTCTTGGGGGGGCGTGAAAGATGGTCGTCGTCCCAGGAATAACCGAGAGCCCCCCGAGAAGTGGTGGCACAGGGGAGGCAAGGGGGCAGGAGCGAAGCCCCTGTCAGGTCAGCAGGAGGAGCCCCGAGCTGCGTCCCGGGTGGGATGGGGCAATGGCAGCAGCTGACCAGGAAAGCGGCCCAAGGGTCAGTGTCGGGATCCTGGCAAAGCCTCCACATACCCGGCTCCGCCCGCCCAGAAAAAAGCCACACTCACGGGAAGTTCAGGGAAGATGATCTGTTTATTGTCGCAATCGATCCACCCAAGAGGACGAGCTGCGGGACTCAGGCTGCTCCAAAAAGCAGACGCGCCGCCAGCCGGGCCACAGGGCACCGTGCGAGCTGCTCGCCACCACCTCACCCACCCACCGTGGGGCCCGTGGAACCTTGAAGTGCGCCAGTAGCTGAGTTTTCCCCTCCAAGTGCGCAAAGAGCAGGAAACGCATTCCATCACTTGCCTTTCGTGAATTAACTCAAAACACTGAGAAATGATTGTTTCCCTCCCCAGCGTTGCTTTTGGGGTGGACGTAGTGAGAGGTGTGATCTGTGTATTTGTCTATATAATATGCCTACACCTATAGAGACTGTAAAATGCATCAGCAGGCTTTAATAAAGAAGACGTCCGCGAGAGGCACAGCGGGGGACGCGGCTGTCTGTCCTTAGAACAGAAGCAGGAAGGAGAATTTCTTGATTCATCACCCGTTCCAACTGCCCCGGCCACTCCTATGACCAGGCTGTCCTGTGGACCTGGCCGGCATTTGCGATTGTCCACCTGCCTGCCCTGGCCTCGGAAGCACTGCGGTCCAGCCCTCCCTGGTGACCGATGGAGCGCGGGTGGGAGCAGTCCACACCTAGGGCAGCGGATACATCCAAAGCCAGTTCCAAGGCCCCGAGAGGCGTGTCAGTCCTGAATGATTGTGCTTTGTTCTTTAAGCTAAGTCCCGGTCGGCCGGCCCTTCTCTCCTTATGACGGCCCTTCATTAGGGAGAAGAGACAGATGGGGGTTCGGAGAGCAGGAAAGGGGGCAGTGGAGAAACCAGCGGACTAACCCCAGCAGCGCGCAGGGAGGGGACATGCAGCCACAGGGGGCCTGGGGCCCACAGAGCAGAGGAAGAAACCTCTCGCTGGCCTGAAGGACAGCAAGGGGGAGAGCAGGCGGCGGGAACCTCGGGTTCCCACCTCCACTCACAGGAGCTGGCTTGTCCCCAACCTCAGTGCCCGGAGGCGGCTCTGGGAGACTCGTGGAGGGGGTCCTAAGGGGCTGGAGGATAAAGTGCCTATCAGGGTGGGCGCCTGGGGCAAAGGTGGTTCCGGCCCATCCCCCTCTGCTCGGCCCTGAGGCCATGGAGAAGACTGGCCCTCCCTGGGCCCCCAGACATCCTGGGCTACGTTATGGGGAGTTGGGATTCCTTAGAATAAACCCAGGGAACCTGACAATGGTTCTCGGAATGTGATGAGTCCTGGAAAAGGGGAAGTCCCGGCCCAGCACAGATCCTCACTCATCCAGGAGAGGGGCCTCGAGAGGTGGCCCAAAAGCGACGTCTGCGGACTGAAGAAGCATCCCGCCACCCCTGGTCCCAGCGGCACCAGGCGCCCACCCACCTCCCCCCTCTCGGCTGGTTGGCTTGAAAGATGGGCCATGCCGCCTGCCCCGGGCCTTCTGGGGGCTTAGCCCACCCCGTTGGCAGTGTGTTGATTGGCAGTTAGGTACTGAGCAGAAGAGTTAGAATTTCCCGGTGGGCTGGACCCACCCCACCCAGGACGCACCGGGCTGGTGGCCCACACCCCCTGTGCCCGGCCCCCAGCCCCCTTCCCTGGACTCTCTTCCTTCTTCCCTAACTCCAGCCCTGGCAGCAGCGGCTGCACAAATGGAATTAGATGCACAACAACAATTAATCTTGCCCCCCCACCCCCACCTGTGCTGGCCTGGCGGCTCCCAGCTCCGTATGGCTTTGTGTACAACACCAGCACCTACACAGGCCTGGCACACAGCAGATACTCAGTAAACGGATGTTAAATGGAAGTGAATTAAACTGAGCCTCCCAGATGCTCACTCCCCTGATTGGCCATCTGACGGGCAGAGGCAGAGAGTGGTCCCTGAGACTGTCACTGTCCTGTCCCCACCCCTCCCCCAGGCTCCTTCCCACCCTGAGCTCTGCCTCCCTGAGTCTGCACAGGACCTGGGCTCCCGGGACCCCAGGAGGAGGCCCACCTGGGGCAGGGGAGGGGCATGCCAGCGGCTCTGTCCTCATTCCCACACCCCACCCCTGCCACGGGCATCCCCCCACCCCTGCCGCGGGCATCCCCTCTCGGGGGGAGGAGCAGGGCACCCCCTCCCCTCCTCTCCCGCCAGGACAACAATGGCTGTTCATTCAAACTGGAGGTTGGCAGCCAGAGGAGGTGACAGGGCCCTCACTCCGTCCGCCTGAGCCTCAATTTCCCTGTGTGCAGTAGGAGTGATGTGGCTCGTTGGCCTCTGAGGGTCTCCCAAGGCCTCTCACCTCGTCTCCCTCTCCTGAGATTCCCCTCAATGTGAGTAACGTGGAGGGAGATTGGCTCCCACAGACGCCCCTTCTTCCCCAGGAGCCACTGAGGGAGGTGCAGCCCAGCTCTAGACCGGACGTGGCCGTGGTCACGGCTCACCTCACGCCTCCCTCAGGCCTTCCCTTCGCTCCAGTGGAGCCCGAGGAAACTGCTGGGGGCCTGGGATGGGCTGTGAGGCCGGTCCCTCACCCTGCGCCCTGGGCCCAGCTCACTGGCGCCCCCTCCCCATCCCTCCACTCATTGACATGTGCCTCCTGCTGGTGGGCACTCTGGTGGCAGGAAATGACCACCACCTGGAGCACACGCCCGCCCGTGACCGTGACTGACCGTGACCAGCTCCTGGCCCTTCCGTACTGTTCTCACCAAAACCCCCAGCATCACAGCCAACAGAAACCACCAGTTTCAGAGTTCATCCACGGAGGAGAGGGCGGAGCTGGGCTCCCGGACCGGCGTCTCCACTCGCCTCCATCTCGGCTTCCCTTCGATGCCCTTGCTCGTGCCCACTCCGGTCTCCAGGAGCCATCAGCACCCAGCCTGCAGGGCTGGCCGCAGGAGCACACAGCTCAGGGAAGCCCCGCCACCCACAGGTGCCTCTGAAGCTGCCCCCAGATGAGTCCCGTGAGAGCAGGCAGACCGCTGGACCCCTCCTCAACTCCCCCCCCCCGCCCCCTGGGGCGCTCACACGGCCTCCCCTCCTCTCAGGGGCAGCAGGACCCCTTCTCCCTCCTCCAGGGCCCTCACACCCCATACTCCACGGCGGGTTTCTCCCATGAGAGAGGTGGGTGACTGGTGCAGTGGGGGACAGAGTGAGGGGTTGGGGGGCGCAGGCCGGCCCTGGGACCTGGTCCAAGAGAAGCACACACCGAGGCGGGGGGCACACTGTACAGGAGAGCGGGGGCGGGGATGGGGTGCGGGGGCGCCGGCCGCCGCTACTTGGCACCGTCCTCAGCGTGGCCCTCGCCGTCCGTCTTGCCCTCCTCCTCTGTCTTCAGGTCATCGGTGCTCAGCTTCTGCTCCTTCTTCCTCCTCACACACTTCACCACCATCAGCACCAAGATGACCACGGCCAGGAAGCCTCCGACCGAGGCGCCCACGACCACGGCCACCGTGGAGTCCCGCTCGGGGGGCTCTGGGGGAGAACAGGAGACAGATGCTGAGGGCCAGGCTGCAAGGGAGCCGCCCTCTGTGCCCTGCTCCCAGGGTGCGGGCCGTCCCAACTCTCCTCTCCTCCGTGGGGAGAACTGGAGTCAGAGCCAAATCCGCCCAGGCCATTGGCCTCTGAGCCCCGCCCCGGATCCCAGGGCCCCTGACAGCCCAGGGCCGCAGGAGGAGGCGGGAGGGGAGGGCATGGACTTGGAGGTCAAGCAGACCCCAGTGGGAGCCCTGGCTGTATCTGTGGAGAGCTGATCTTAGATGATTCCTCTCCGCCTCTCTGCCTCCGCACTTATAAAACAGCAGCTCCTCCCTAAGGCCTCCTGAGGGTGAATGAGCGGCTGCAGCTAGAGTTCCGTCCTGGACCTGAGACACATCAAGTCCCAATCGGTGGAAGCTGCTAGAAGGATTCTGAAGATCCTGATCCTGATTGACAGCATCATAAGGACTCTCGGAATCACGCTCCCAGGTCCCTAAGGACTGGAGGGAAGAGAGCAGGTGCTGGGACCACCCTCAGCTGCGGCTCCCCAGGCGCCCGCTGCGGGACAGACTCCCAGGGGCCTCCCCTGGGCAGCAGGTGAGAGTAACGGCCAGGACCAGCCAGGGGCCTGCCG